ACGAGTACTTAGTGTAGATAGTATACTGTCATTCAATTTTAAATAGCAATATAGGCCTATCATCATATAAAAATTTATTGACTAATTTATAATGTATAAATTGTTATATCTGTGGTATATATGTATATGTATATATATATATATATATGTATATATATATATATATATATATATATATATATATATACATACATACATACCTGGACATATATATATATATATGGGGTCCAGGCCAATGACAATAAGTAAGAAAAGTTTCTAATTGTCAGGTTTTGAGTATATATAAAAATACAGTACTTGTTTTTATATTCCTAATTTTTGTATTATTGTATAAAATAAAATTACTTTGGGAGGTGGGGACAATTTGCCAGTACAAAAATATTGATGATATGTCCCCCTCTCCTATACATGATCAACATCCATGTTTATTTGGCATTTTTTATATTATTGAAAATATTGATGCAAGATATTGATTGACTTGCAGGCCAGTATTGAACTATCACATTTCATACATAATATCCTAAAATCCTTTTATTTCAGTATTTTTGAAAAATGCAAATTTAGAAAGTGGAATGCATCTGTATAGTTCAACACTAAGATTCTAAACCTAGTAATGATTGTCTAGAAAACCTTAAGCTAATAATCAGAATAAAAAGAAATCACTAACTTGAAATTTTTGCAGTGATTTGAAAAGTTAAATTACAGAGTCAATATCAGTTGTATTAACAATCATAGCTAATTAATAGTAAAATATAAATCAATTTGGCTAGAAGTAGGCAGTTAAGCTACCATCTTATTGTGAAGTTTGTAACGAGAGGTACTTAATTCCGCGAACAAAATGGTACCAAAAAAAAACACTTAATATTATTTACAGCACCAAGTATTTTAATTCTCTCCGAACAGGTTCTTTACATTGGATCCCAACCTTATAATTTTATGAATATACATAGGCATTTACGTACTGGTCTTCCAAGTAGATAATTTATATATGCACGATAGTCAGATGCGGGCTGTATCAACTTACACTAACTTAAACTATCTTAAAACTAAGGAAAATGGAAAAGTAGATGAAATAAGGAAAAATAAGGAAAGGAATAGAAATACCCGGGTTTCTTTTGTAGCGAAATGCTCTTGGGTAGGACACAACTTCGGAACTTTCCTCTTATTCGTGATCCTTTTCTTGTCGTAGGACTTTCATCTATTTTTGACTTCATTGTCTTTCTTCAATGATCTCTTGGCAACTTGCAGTCCTCGATCGTCTTTCTAAAATTTTGGAGCACTGCTTTTTCTGCCTATCTCTTTGGGATTCTCACCCAGGCTAACTCGTTCTTTGTCCGTTAGGCCACAGGGCCTCACTCTTTTGTTCTACTTATTTTCTTGGAAACGATAATCCTACCCAAGGGCAAAAAGGGTTAGATAAGAAGGTTCTAGAAGGAATTTAGAACAAAGAAACAGGAAAGAAGGCTAAGATTAATCCAAATAAAACATATGACTATCCAATATCATGGCCGACGGCCACATTATGATAAATTTAATAATTAGAAATAAATCTTTAATTTTAATTTAGAATATTTTGGAAGAAAAGAATTGGCATGGGGTGAGATACAAACCTGTAACTTCTGCTTACCATACAAATGTGTTGCCAGTTTGGAAGCTCAGTGGTCTGGATAGCAAGAGCTATTAATATAAGTGTGTTGGTTATTGTGTATTTTACTCTTTATAGATACCATGTCAGGATAAGTGCAAGTTGGCTAGGAGCGTGGTGGAACATGGACACTAAAGTCATTTCCCAGTCAGTACCAAGAACAACCTATATGGTTATATCTAAATTAATTGTTCTGAATCTCAGAAGTCCGGGTAATGTAACTTGCAAAATATCTGTATAGTAAGCAGGAATTGCAGGTTAAAATCTTACTCTAGGCCAATTCTTTTTAGGTATATTAAATACTTGGATTAGATGTCATGCCAACAGTTGTGTTAATTCACTTAGAAACTTCAGACTAGGATGCGTTAAAGAGAATTAAAATATTCTTTTAATTCTCTTTAACGCCTCCTAGTCTGAAGCCATTTCTTTTCTTCCAAAATAATCTACATTAAATTAATTTTTAATTTTATTTCTAATTATTAAATTTATGAGTTAATATCAGTTTTATATAAAATAACTAATTTTCTAATTTATTAAGTTTGTTAATAAGATTTTCTATTTTATCTATAGTTATAAAACTGTTCACAGTTGATAAAGCATATGTTGATTTTAAGCATTTATACATTACAATTTTTTCTCTGTGATTAAAATTTCACATCTGAAACATTTCAACACTAAATTATTTCATGTTTTGAAAAAAATTCTATAAAAATGTTATAATATGTATAATGGCAGAATCTGATGATGGGAGCTAATATCTTGAAAATGTATTAATTTATAAATATAAATATGTACACCTAGAAAATTTGATTGTTGGCATCAGTGTTATTTGGTTCACAATATTTGACTGCATAATGTAATATAAAGTATTCTTCAGAAGATAGTTATAATCCTTTCTTTGAAGTTTTCATTTTTATATTTGAAATGNTATATATATTATTTTATATTATTATATTATATTATGAATGAAGCAAATATACAATTATATATATATGTAATTGTATATTTGCTTCATGCATAAATTTGTTTCAGTTTATATGTTAATAATTTTAACCTTTTAACCACTATAAATTAAAGTTAATGATTTCCAAAAATTTAGCTATTGGAATGACATTATTGGATTTACTGCAATTAATTTAAGATACGGATACATTTAAAATATACAGATAAATTGTTTATTTTATGTAATAAAAACTGAAGCCTTTAAAATATACTATTTTTATTAATATATTTATTTGTAAATTTTAGACGAAGCACTTATAATCATCTCAGTAGTTGGCTAACAGATGCAAGGAATCTTACAAATCCGAATACAGTAAGTTTTTGAAAATTTACATAAATGTAAATGTTCAACATAACTTATATAACAAATTTATTTTCAAGGTTATATTCTTAATTGGTAATAAGAGTGATTTGGAAGCACAAAGAGATGTAACGTATGAAGAAGCAAAACAGTTTGCAGAAGAAAATGGTATCAAACAGTAACTAAATTGTATTATATAATTTACATACAGTGTGACCTCAATTTACAAGAATAACTCATTCATAAAGAAACTTCTCATAAATTCAAATCTTGTAGAGACAAGCTTTTTCATTATTTCTGATGGTCAAAATTGTACATCATCTGAATGTAATCCACTCCACTTATCCATATTCTCTTAAGTAAGATTAAAGTGCTACAAAATACATATTTACTTTTCAACTAATGATTTTAAATGAAATAAAATACATGGATGTTTTTACATTTGTGGTAGTTAATGTATAGATTATTCACTGATGTAAAAGAAACTAATAGAAAATGAGAGAAGCAAATATGTAAATATCAGACAATTCTTTATTTAATAGTAATAAAGTTAAGACAATAAATAAGCAGAAAATATGTAAAACACAGTAAATTTTAGTTGAAGTAATCAAATTTTAATAAGTAAAAGAATATGAAATGTAGAGGTAAACTTTACTAAACCAAGCATCGATTTTAGAATGAGTAGACTATCTGTAGTGAATAAAGATGAAATGAAACAAAGAAAATAGGAACAAAATTGAAAGCTGTGAACCAACTATTCAGAGCATATTGGTATTTCATTCTTGTTGCACATGATGATGATAATTTTGCTTGTAAACATCAGTGGTGCTTGTTGCAATAAGTATTTCGTCTCTCTCATTTATGAGATGAAATACTTAATGCAACAAGCACCACAAGAAAATTGCTCTTATCAAATTCTCATATATGGAGTACTTGTAAACAGGAATCACACTGTAATTATATTTGTATGCAGACTGATTTTTTTAATGTTAAAAATGTTAATATTTTACAGGGCTGATGTTTGTTGAAGCCAGTGCAAAAACGTAAGTTAATTGATAAATGTTGTCAAATACCTTTTTCTAATAACAAAATTATAATTACTATTGATCTGTTTAATAAACATACAAATAGAAGAAAAATTCTTAAATTTGATTGATTTTATTTCATCATTCTTTTTATAATTACTAGCTAAACAATATTTAACAAATACATGTTAGAGCAGTATTTGATATGGTAGAGTCTTGCTAGTCTGAACACTGTGAATCCAAATGTCCACCTAATCCAAACATGTTTCAGTCGGTGGAGAGGAAATGTTTTAGCTCGCAAAATATATGGTGGTTGTATTTTCCAGTTGAATTTAAATTGTATTAATGGTACAAAAAAATTTAGAATTCCACAACAAAAAAATTTGTATTTTATTGTATTACTATATTAATACTGTACAAAATTAATAAATTAGTGTTTGACATAGTCTATTAAAACAGCAGATCTATATTGTACTTACACACAGAAACAAACAAAAGTCATTGATGATGATGGATCTATATAAACCAGACCTGTCTTACTGCTTGCTTTTGCATTATTTCAATTATTCAGCTAATCCGAACAGGGATCAGTCCCAATTAGTTCGGACTAGCAGGACTCTATTGTATATATAATAATTTGTGTGTAATTGTGTTTGTTTATATAAAACTGAATATTTACTTCTTTTATTAACCACTCTATTGAAAATACAATTCATTATTTTCTGAAATTATTTTTAACTGATTTTAATAATTAAAAATTATAAAACAATCACCACTACTACATTTTTTACATAAATAAATTACCCCTCTCATTATATTTTTGCTAAATAAAACTTTTAAGAAAGTTTACAAAGCAGCTACAAAAATTTCAAACTGCAAACCAAAATCTATTGATTTTGAATTGTAATTGAAAGTTTATTGTATGTTGATTTTATTTCAACAATTATGATTGAAATAAATTTGCATTCAATAAACTTTCATCATACAATTGACTTCTAATATTTTAAAGCGTGAATTTTAATTTATAGAACTTTTATCAGTTAAAATGCCGATCAAAATTGTTCTCTTGCTTTAACATCTTACAATTTTATGTAAGACCATAATAAACTAGTTTTTTATTTTCACTTATAAATGCTTTTTGAATAACATTACTGTGGTATCCTTCTTCAGTACAAATGAAAAGTCAAATTCTCTTAAGTAAAAATACACATCATGTTTGGCATCCTCTTATACAATTTGACATTTTCAAAGATATAACTTAAACCCCTCTTGAGACAACATATTTTTATTTTGACCTAAGTTAGTCAAAATAAAAAAATTTTGACCATAAATAATTGATAATGAAAAATTAATGTAATATATTAATTTCCATAAATTTCTTGCTTTTGATTTTTGCTACTGAAACAAAAGATATATGAAATATTTTATAACATGCATTAAAATTGTCAAGTAAATAATATATGCTAGAAAGTAAAGAAAACACACAATTTTATATTCTTCTGATTTGGAAAGATCTGATAATGTGAATTGAATTAAGTCAGAAGAAATAATTGAAGAAAATAGTTGGTTATTATTTTATTGAATTGTTCAGTTTTAGGAAATGTATTACTCGTGTAAAAGTAAAGATAACAATTTTTCGTTATTTAATTACGCAAAGTAGTTTAGTTAAGAAAATGTATATAAGTAAGTTTAGACTATATTAGTGTAAAATCTGTTTTATAAATTGATAAGCAAGTTGATATTTTGTAGGAAAATAAATGAAAATAGAAAATGTGTAAAAATATTTGATTTTATAATGACTAGTCACTGATGTTTATTTAAGTAATAAAATACAAACACACCAATGAAAAAAATGAATAAAATTAACATGGTACTTTCTATTATGATTGAAAGATTATTGCATTTATGAATAAACTGCTTAAATGAATTTTTACTTGGATTAAACAATTTATTCTTGTTAACATTTGTTTCAAAGTGATTGTCATTGATTGTTTTTCCTCCATTTTCAGATTTGTTTGTTATCTAAGGTTTATAGATGATATAACAGTTTAAAATTTAAGTTTATTTTATAACTTCAGAAAAAGTTTAAATAGTGAATCAGTCTATTAAAGAAATGATCATATCATTAATTAATCTTTATTATTTGATATAATGGATGTTATTACAAAGGAGGTTAAATATCATTGTTAGTTTAAATTTGATACATAAACAAAAAATTTATATAATTTATAAAATGTTAACACGGTGAAACTGTCACCGAATCAAATTTGATAACAAAAATCAGATGGTAGTGTAGCAACTTTGATATCCAAAAGAATATTACAAGAATCAAGGTATTTTCTCATATCCATCACTGTTATTCCACAAATTCTCATATCCATCACTGTTATTCCACAAAAAGAACACTCAGTGTCACATGAGACATTAATTATTTTACCATTTAAGTTTATCAAAAACACGTTTAATCTAAATTGAATGACTATTTTGTAACTCAAATTAGACAATAAATAAGGTGCTGGAGTCCACATTCCATTCAGAAAAATTTCATTGTCCCAACCTCTTTCCCTAAAATAATAAACATCTTTTAACCAATATAAGTCTCTCAGTCATTGATCACAGTCCAGGAGAAATCTATTAATATGGAATACCTGCTTAAAGTAGAACTAGTGTATTGCCTCAAATCTGAGACCACCACAAACTGGAAAAACTTAAAAAGTACTTGGTCCAATCAAAGAATCTAAAATAATTATTTAATGAAGATGCTTTAATTTTAATATTAATAAATAATTTGATGAGATTGGAGATTTTAGCCTTTGCATCAAACCTTTATTTAAATGATAGGAAAATCTGCCTATATATTTAAAATTTGGCACAATATCCAGTTTACAGATTTCTAAACCAAAATTGTCTATCTCCTTTTTTTTTTAAAGTTTACTACCTCTATGAAATATCATAAGCCTTCTTTTCCAAATTAATTGTCAATTGATTATCTTGACAATACCTCTTGAGTAAGATTGAGTCTTTCCCTAAGCACAAAAACTGAATTAGCCAAGAGAAGTACATCATCAGTACAAAGAAGACAATTTTAACTCGAGAAAATAGTTCTATCATAAAATTTTGGCTTCTCAGAAGGTCAAAAAGATCATTCAAAAAGAAAATAAAAAGAATGGGACTCAATGGTTCTCCTTGAGGTAACTCTCTATTGGACTCAACATAGTCAGTACAAAATGAAAAATCCTCTGTAAGATAGCTTGTATTAGAGAAAAGACTCTTAAGTAAATTAACAAAAACTGCAGAAAGACCAATACTCCTAAGCTTATACCATAAGAAATCATGATCGACTCTATCAAAAGCTTTCTTCAGATCAATAAAAGCAATATATAATTTCCCTTGTTTCCTTGAAAGTGATATTTGATTAAGACCAACCAAAATAATAATAATAATAAATATTTTTATTTGCATTAAGGCAAGCCTTGTTACAGCGTGTTATTGTTTCAGTATTTTAATAGTTACAATTGTTATCATTGATTATCCATTATACATTTTTTAAAGATAATAAGTGAAATTATAATAAATATATAGTAATACAAATTATTATTTGTTTACATTTAAATAATTTACTTTGATTTACAAAATAAGAGCTGTTTCTAGCCTGATAACATTCAGCATTAGTGTAAGAGGTCTGTTCAAAAAGTATCGGACTTTTATTTTTTCCGCGTAAACCAATGATGCGCGGGAGGCCTCTTTCAGTGGAGGGGACAGTCAGGCACAGCCCTGAATTTTTTCCTGCCTGCAGGAAGCATCAGTTGCTGGCAGTTGGCCTATGAGTGAAGACATGTAGCGAGCTCTCGTCGGATTCCACTAAGTTGAAAAATGACTGAACAACGTGAGCAGCGATATTACATCAAATTTTGCCAAAAACCTTGGTGATACCCAAGTGTAAACCATTTGCAAGATTCAGCAGGCTTTTGGGGATGATCCTCGATGCCAAAAAAAGCACGGCAGGTCCGCAGCAATATCAAGGTCATGTTGACAGTTTTTTCGACTCTCATGGGTGGTGTATTGTGAGTACGCATCACAAGGCCAAATCATCACAAAGGAGTAAAACCAGGAGGTCCTTCGTCGTCTTTCTGATGCTGTGCGACGCAAACGACCGGATCTGTGGTCGATCAAAACTTGGCAGCTCCATCGTGATAACGCATTTGCCCATCCTACGCATCTGATTTGGGCTTTCGTTGCCAAACACAACACTCCTGTGGTTCGTCACGCTCCGTACTCTCCCCACATGGCTGCATGTGATTTTTGGCTATTTCAAACGCTGAAAATGCCGCTAAAAGGAACCCGATTTTAGTCAAGAGAAGACATCATGCGGAATGCAACAGATTGGCTGATGGCCATTACAAAAGATGCGTTCCAGCAGTGTTTCTGGCAATGGCAGGAGCACTGTGAGAAGTGTATACATTACCAAGGAGACTACTTTGAAGGGGATTAGGGTTTTGTACTTCAAAATCAATAAATGTATTTTTGCTGACCAAAGGTCCGATACTTTTTGAACAGCCCTCGTATAGCTTTAAAACATATTGGGTTTAGTGATGTTTGTTTTTTTCATATTTTTGACTGTATTTTTCTAAACTTTCACAATCTTACCAGATGACTCAAGGAATGATCTCTAGAGTTGTACCAATAACACTTGTCCTTGGTAAAATCAGTATATGTATTATTAATAAACAGTGAACATTTATTGAGTCTTAATTGAATTAATAGTATTTTTATATTCATATTAATATTTGCAGTTATAATATTTGAAGTTGAAGGAATATTTAAAATGTTAATGTGCCATGGATGGTACACTGAATGAATTAATGAGTTTTGATCTTCAATTATAGATTGGGAAAATGTTGATTCCATCATTAATGTGTAACCATATTGCCAGTCTATTTCTGAATTATCAAATATTCTATTTGAAACACCAAATGTTCGTAATAATTTATTAAATTTATAGTGTGATAGATTTTTAT